AAAAAAAAAAAAAAAAAGAGAACATTTTAAAGTAAGCAAAATATACGTTGTAGTAATAAAGTTTTATCTTTTAAACAATACTAAAAGTAAAAACTTGATTCATGTTTTGAAGGAGAAATTCATAAACTTTCACATAGTATTGAAGTAAATCAACGGACACTAGGTACAAGTAGATGTTTGATATTACAAGATAATATATAAGTTACAAACATCCTGATTTGAGTTTATTAAAAAATGTATAATTAGAGCTTTGGTTATCTTAGAAAGATATCAAGTTTTCAGTATGAAATCCTCTATGATATGTTCAATTGTATGTGTCTGTATGTTACTCAACCCGATTGTCAAAGATCAAAATTCTTATAGCTTTCCTCTCACATTCAGTTCCATTTTGCAACTCTCTAATGAGTTTGGGATTCTCTAAACAAAAATTCTCAGTGAGTGAGTTTTAACACTTTACCTCAATAAATATTCCCTTATATTTCCTTTCTGCCTGATACATACCAATGGAAGTTCTATACAGTTTTTCAAGTTCAACTCATCTGTGTAGCTGTTTCTGTTTTTATTCTCCAGACCTTTTGTCTGTCTTCCAATAGCACTATTCACTTACAGCTATATCAGTAGTTCTCAGTTCTGGCTACACATTAGGCTCACCTGGGAAGCTTTAAAAACCTATCGATGCCTGGGTCCCGTTACCAAAGGCTTTGACTTAATTTGTCTGGGGTGATATCCTGTTATAAATAAAAGTTTTTAAAGCTCCAAAGGTGATTCTAGTATGCAGCCAAGGTTGGTAACCGTGCTCTCTATATTATTAATCTTATTGCATTATGATTATTTATTAATGCAATTAATCTTATTGCATTATGATTGTTTTCTCCCATTCTAGTTTTCACACTTTTAAGTCAGCAACTATATCCGATTTGTATGTGAATTCCAATGCCTGTTGTATTGGATCTATAGAATACTTATATATACAAGGTGCTCTATGTCTTATTCAAGGAAAGTAGAGCATATCACAGAAACATCACACAAGAAAAAACCTAATACATTACTGTGGCCTAGTAAGGCTATAAGAGAAGTAAAAATAAATTATTAGAGAGGAGAATCAAATCAACTTGAGAAATCAGAAAAGTCTACTTATAAGGGTGAAATCTTCACATGGACCATGTGTAGAATTTTGAATAGGATTGTGTAAATGGTTTTCATAGAAAGAAATGAGAAATGGTAGAAAATGAGGAGACTAGAATAATTTCTTGTAAAAGGGAACAGAATGAGGAAAAAGGAAAAGGTAGAAATACATGAAGCCCATTTAGGAAATAGTTTATATAGCATTTTAGAAGCAAAAATAGGAGAAATGGGTGATAAGGGTAGATACTGGTGGATGAAATCATGGATGCTTTGAATGCTCAGTGAACAAGCATGGACTCCTCAAAGTTTCTAAGCACAAGAATAAGTTACTCAGATACTGTGCTTTAAAAGTTCAATCTCCCTAATTGTAACTCTTAATAAATATAGTTGTATGACCTCAATTACTTTATATAAACATTATAAGCAATATTATCTTACACTAAAACCTTTTTCATTCTGTGGCCAATGTATTCATCACAAAAGAGATCACCAAGTGACATAAACATAAATTATGTCTTTTATCAGATGACAGTATTTTATTAGCTTAGCTGAGAAAAAAATAAATGGAGGTTAAATAGTACAATGGCTGTGGTAGCTCCCAAAAACCTGGCCTAAAAGACTTGGCTATCTGTGTTGTTGTTGTTGTTGTTGTTGTTGTTTTGTGGGGGGTGACATCAAATCAAACATGAGGCAAAGAAAAATTTCCTCATTTGTGATTTCATGTCCTGCAAAATGTAATTGTTTACTTTAACCTAAAGCCCAAATTACTCATTTCATATAGTCATTTTTACTTCAATACATTGCTGTTGACTGACAAATGCAATATTTGTTGCTGAAAAAGCCTGTACAAAAAGTACTGGCATAGTTCCATGACTCTGTAGTCATGAAGTCTCTGCCCAGGGCAGCTCTTAATTTAACGGGTAGGCTGATAACCGCACTCACCAGTATATTGCCTCAGCAAGCTGTATTTGTCCCATACCACTGCCCTATAAAGAGTTATTTTAAGATCCACAGAAAGTTCTTTTTTATTTCTTTTAAAATCTTCATTGTATTTTATCAATAAAGCAATGGGATATAGAATACAAATGAAAAATTTGGAGCAATCAGTGTTTGCAAGCATTGAACACACTTTTACTTTTATGTTAAAATTAGCCCAAGATCTGTGAGAGAGAGAGAGAGAGAGAGAGAGAGAGAGAGAGAGAGAGAGAGTGTGTGTGTGTGTGTGTGTGTGTGTGTAGGTATGTAACAGCCCAGTGAAAAATCAAGAAAAGTGAAGGATTCAAATATTTATGCAAATATTTAAAACTTAAGAAATATTATTTAGAGTCAACACAGAACTCAACAGTTGTCTTTGACAGAAATGTATTTTATAAAATTAAAGGGTTAGGTTCCATATTTCACATACTAACGCTTTATATGCACAACTGGATTCCAACTGTGCTGTGGGCAGTTTTCAGTCTTCTAATTTGGTGATATACTTTACAATTTAATTGAGAAAATGAAATAAGTCAACTCTTAAGGCTGAGACATAGTTCCAAACAAGATGGACTAAATGCAATCTATTTTGCTTCCCCTGTTAATCACAATGGAACACTCTAGACAAAACATTTAGAAATGCCACCTATCAAAAGACTCTTAACGGTAGACTACAGAAGGTATATTGGTTAGGGTCCTCAGGACTTAATGAATGATATGGCAGTGAGCTTCACAGGATTTTTCTTGCCTCCTATAATGTCCCAAACTGGGTGTCACAGAATTCCTTAATGCACCAAAGCACTGATAAAAAAAAAAAAAAAAAAAAGCACCCAGGAAAAGCCAAAGAACCTGGAACAGGGTGGCCCAGCCATATCAACCTGTTCTGGGGGTGAATATCACAAAAATGTCATGCCCCTCCCCCACTAGGAGAATGGTACAGTAGGGAATCAGTAAGAAACACCCTCCATCCCCACTCAGATTCCATGGGCAAAACCCTGTCTTCCACTCATACCCCCACTTCAGTAGAGAAGGCAGCCCTTCCCCATGGGGCCTATGGCTTGAATTAACTTCCAGCTCCCATAAAGTTATTAGGAGATGCCCCTTCCTTGCAGAGCCCATGGTTGAAACTTTGACTTCCACTCCCCACTGCAATAATATTTGGGAGAAGGGTGTATTAATGGGTAAACTGAGGGAGTTTTTTGTGGTGATGAAACAGTTCTATACGATGTTCATAATAGTGATGGTTACTCTAATCTATGCATGCAGTATAATTTTATAAAACTATAAAACCTCTCCCACCAAAAATCAAGCAAACAAAAATAAACAAAAAACTTGAAAAATCAGAATAAGAACTGTAACTGAGTTAATACTGTACCAAAGTCAATTCCTTAAAAGGAAAAAAGAAAAATATATATGTATTGGTAATTTATATATTTATATAATAAGTCAATTATTCAATTCTAACCTTCTTTACATGCTTTCCCCCTAAACACGTGGGCACCAAAAAACACATTTACATTTGATACATGTGATAAAACTTTAATTTCCGGTTTTGCCACTCAAATAGATTTCCTAATACTATTACTAAATCAACTGTGACTAAAGAATGACTATTTGCCCCTAACTTTCAAAATCTGGATTCTTCAACAAACACCAGGCCTACTTAAGGGTGGAAGGGTGGAAGGGTGGAGGGTGGGAGGAGGGTGAGGATTGAAAAACTACCTCTTAGGCACTATACTTATTACCCAGGTGGCAAAATAGCCTGTACACCAAACCCCTGTGACATGCGATTTACCCTGGAAAACAAAT